CCAAAGGCCTAGTTATAATCTCAAAGATTTCAGAGCCACCGTGATCCCTTGAGTAAATATATAATTAAGTATGGGGTTTTTTAAGACATGTTTAATTAGGCCCCTAGCCCCTCCTCATCCCCCCTGCCTCTCCCCAATTATGTACCATTTCCCCAAGAGATATGTGGCTCTGTTAATTATGTAAATAAGTCATGCACTATTCCCTGAAAGAATTGTATTTATGTGAAAAATACTGCTCATTTATTATCAATAAAAATAAATACGAGACCTATGATATTTCATTAAAAATCATTTAAAAGAGCTAGATGGTTTTCAATTTTACATTACTGTCCAAAAACATAACAAAACTGAAGTAAGTAAAATAACTCCCCACTGAACTATAATGTTTCTTCTGTATCTCAGATGGTCAAGTAGGTATTTATAAAATAGACAATACGTATGGAAGTATAGAAAGAAATTTGATAAGCTTACTATTGACAAACTTACCAGAGTAGTATAAACAATGCAATTAAAATGAATATAGTGAGATTATACTCTAACAAAATGCCAATTCAATTATTTTGGAGAGTTAAAAAGGTATTTTGATTTCTAGATCACGATCGCGTTGATTCGTATCATACCCTACAAAACACAATTGAGTAACATGGAGGTATTTCATTAACATCTCGAACTATTATGCATAGTACAATTTCCTTCAAACGGACCAAACACCTGCTAAATGCATCAGACTTTTAAATGTGAAAATTAAGATGTTCATTACAGTCAACTATAATTCCTCTTCATACAGTAAAAAGTAGTCTGGATTATCAAAGGGGGAAGGAAACATGTTTAAGTTCCTCAAGTTTCTGAGAAAAATTCTAGCAGGTAGACCAATCACGCTCAAGAATTAGAGCAACAAGACTGGGACACCACTGAATTACAATAAATTTATCTTAATAAAGAAGTATTTATTTTATTTTTGCTTCCTCTGTGCATGGCTGTTGGGAGTACATTTAAATGTTTGACAAGATGAAATTTCACGACGTAAGAACAGCAAGCTTTGAGTTTAGAAAAAAAAGACATCTTAGTGTTGTCAGCATCAAAGTACTGCTATCATTTATTACTGAGGCCAGAAATTTTGAAAAACTGCGTTAGCACTACTTACTACACACTAGTAAGTATAAAATAACAAAAGAGGCAGCTTTTGCTACGTAGACTTACAGTTTAAAAGTTACCATTTCACAACTATTCTAAATACTTCTAGATACGCTAGTGGAATTATATATCTGACTTTCCACCTTAAGAATACTTAACAGAATATGAAATTCTTCCATCACAATGGTAATGAAGCTCAAACTTCATACTCCCACAGGAGACTCCACAAACAAATCCAGCAGAAAACAGATCTGTGCAGTATTTATAATAGTTTTGGAACAATATGACACTGATCCATCACACCAATGTTTATATTTCAGTTTCTAGAGTTTATGACAGAGAAAAATATTTGACAATACAGAGTAACTGAACTGCACACAAGGAAAGACAGTTACCCACAATTCTGAGTAATGTCAAATGTAAGCTCTTGAAATGAATGTAGTCAAGGAATGAATTTGACCTACCAGGTTTGCAGGTTTGTGTATTACACACGAGTACTTGCGCAGAACTACATCGTTCAGTCCTTTTTTGCCCCAGATATTGACCTGTCGATGCTTCAGTCTCCCACCCTCCAAACAGACAGTAGCTTTGCCCACTCTCGTTGGAGCATTTCGAGGACGAAGACAGCATAAACCATGGAATATTCAGCAAGTGCTGTGACATGGCTAGACAGAATAGATTTTTTAAAATGCCAGATAACCAATCATTTACACAAAGGGTCTCACCATCAGCTCTGTAGAGAGATGTCCTAGGACTCTGCCACACTAACTGTTTACCTAACTAACCTGCTGAAGAAGGACACCGCAAGGTAAGGTACACCTAATGGTAAGGCATCATTTTGTAATGAAAACGGGAGAAACGGTTCTACCGAACCTGGAACCATTTTATTTAAGACTGAGAGAAGCATGTTTCTAGATAACCACTTTAAAATAACTGATGGCCTACTATAAAGTCTAATTCAAGCTTGAACAAGTAAATGCACACGAGAACTGCCGAAGGCCTATCACCTTCAGGTCAGGGACCACCTGGGTATGAGAGAAAAACATCTGGTCCACTTACCTTGCCGTCAAATTTTGAGTACTCATTGAAGGGGTTATTCAGCTGCAGCGGACACTGTTCAAGTCGCACAGACAGTATCGACTGCTTCCCAGAACATGGAGATTTTACTCGGAAATTCTTTTTTTCAAATAGCGAGCTCAGCTCCTCTGCTGTAGATCAGAAAAGAGATTAGAGTAGTTGTACTGGGAGATGCACAGAGGCTACTGTTTATCACAGAAAGATAACATTATGAGAGGGAGAACAAAATCAAATACATAAAACAACAAATGCTTTAGCAGGGCAGAATCCACCACCACTCCTTCATAGCCCGAAGATATGAAACCGTAAGAAGTTTGAATGATGCTACTGTTTAGGCTGAGGAAAAGATGAATTTTTCCCACACAGAGAATGGAACTGATCACTACAAGATCCACTTGAGTCAAGATAAAAATCAAGATTCAAAGAGAGAATTGCGCATTCCTGGTCATTCTGCTTGCCTACCTTTTTCTAAATGAACAGTAAACGCTATGCAAAAGAACTGTTGACACATCTACAGTAGGCCATGCAAAAGCATTTCAAACTGAGCTTGTAATACATGGTATTATGCTATATGACAGGACAATATTATACTACCCCATTACTATATTATAAAGTCGCTATGCTGTCAGCAGTAGGCTTGGGACTACATCTGATCCAAAAGAATACTTTCTTTGGATTTTACTTCTCATGGTAGACCAGATATGGTCTCCTCTCAAAAAAATGCCAAACTTGAAAACACCATTCCAGACAAACAGTCTGGACAATATGAAAAAAGCTTTCTAAAAACACAGGTGCTAAGAGTTGGTGAGTTCTTTGTGTGGTCTGTGAAGGCTCATAAGCGCCTCCGCCAAGCAGCTCTTTTTATATAAAGAGACTGTATAGCTGAATTTCTAGCAACAGCTTAACTCAAAATTTACAGGCATACTTAAAAAAAAAAATTAAAAATTAGGGCTTCTTATGTTATAAGGACACTACAAAATCAGGACAGAGCCTGGGGTGGTTTAGCATATTAGTACCAATGGGTCTCATCTGCAAGAAACTGTGACTGAATCTGGACAAGTTTTTTCCACATCTGCTCTAGGAACCAAGTACCCCCAAACTCCATCAATCACTACCCGAGAACCAACACCCGCTCTCCTGGACCGACTCTGCTCTGTGTTCCCATGCTTGGATTCTCTCATAGCTTAAAGATTTACATGTTGCTTCTCCAGGAAAATGAAACTGCTCCTAAGGCAGAACGACTTGGGACTTGATCTGCAGGGAGTTGGTTAATTTCTTAAAATGCAAAATTAAAACTTGTCAAATTATAACTACTCAAAAGCTCAATTTATTTTTATCAGCAGATTGCCTGAATATCCAGACAGTTGGCAAAAGTGCTAAATACTGGCACTAAGAGATACCCAACAGTCTTGTGAGAGGCTGCGATTAACCAAAAAAGCTTGATTAAATCCTGTTTAAATGTGGCAACTTAAACCCCATTAGGTATTCTGGCTTTTTGTAAAAAGTTTATCTCTGTTTTTAAAAAAAATAAAATCTCAATTATAATTATGCTAGAGTATGACCCTTAACTGGTATTTCTTGAGCATTTGGAAAGTACTCTGTACCTTGGAATTCAAATAATGGTTTTACTGGTTCAAGTGAAAAAGCAAGTCTTTTACCCTCAAGTTTTGTCTCTAGGGAAATGTTAAGATGATTTGTTTATCGTTTCCTTTGTTGGGATGTGCAAAAAGAGGATCTCAAGAATTCTTCTGCATTCGTTAGCGTGACATCTGTTTTGCTTTGAGTTTTGTATAGCTTTTACTCAAGTCAAATATCTCACATGACTGAAGAGTTTAAATAACAGTACGTTCTACAAGAGTGTAAATTCAGCTGGCTGAGATACAGTTTTCATTTTCCAGAAAACTTCATCATTTCAAAACATTAAACTCATTTAGGAAGAGGAACCTAAAGCCTTCTCGAGATTTGTGCAAAAAGCTAGAAGAAGATAGATCTTCCATTGAGCATTTTGTCAAATAATTCCTGATAGACACAGGCTGTGCAAGTTCCAATTAAAAACACTGGAAAAAATAGTTAAATTCTCAAATTTCAGGGAAAAAATTTCTCATATTTTTACATGAAACTAGCTTTAATTGCATAATTTTTAATTCTTAATTAAAACTAAGTTTTGCCGTTAGTCTATATGTATTTTTCATCTTTTGTGGTTTTGTTAGCTATATGAGCTGTTCTACATGGGCCGAATGTAAGGCTTTTGAAAGATTCCCTTGATGTATTGTTAATTTACATTTTATATGCTCTGAAATGAATGAATGAAAGTTGTAAATAAATGCTTTATCTCTCGCTTTCATCTAAAAATACCTAGTATTTTATAAAAAAAGAGTAACCTTTTCTATGTGTATCCATATTTGGTTTATAGGACCCTCAGACCGCTTTACTAACGCGATGTGATCTCCACACTGCATGAAGCTGAAACGTTCTTTTCATTTTACTGAAAAAGAGCTGGTGCACAGAAAGGCGACGTGAACTGGTGGCACGGAGGAACAAAAGCCCCCGACCTGCAGTGTGTGGCACCCCCAGTCGGTCAGCTTCCCCCGGAGCAATTTTTATTTCTTCAGCCCCGAACCAACTCCGAACGCACGGAGATTTCCTTTTGCGAGTCCGTACACTACCGCCACCCTACCCTTCAAACGCATTCCCGACAGCGCAAACAGCTTGTCTCACGACAGAGAGCAAACAGATGATGGGTAGAAAACATTCGTCTTTTTTTTCTCAGTACCATCTACAAAATTACTCATCTCTCACTTCCCTTTATGCTGGTTAGTGTACTTTTATTTCTGTACCTAGTAATTAAAAATGGGAATCGCAAAAAATACTCCACTGCCAGATGCCTCAAATTACGACTCCATCTCCACTGCGGGACAGTGGAAATGCTTCCAGCAGTCGCTCCCTCCGGTACGGCACCTCTCTGAGGAGCGAGCTGCGGAGGTGGTGCCATCAGACCCTTGAACAACACAACAGCGTCCCAGCACCCGTTCCGTTTGCATGGTGTCAACCACAGCCTCGACTTTGTCTAAAGCTCAGCTAAATCCAGTCGGAAGGCAGCAGCCAAATTCCCCCCGAGAACGGCTATTTCTGTTGTTATTGCTTTCATACCTATTTTCCAGTAATGCTAAACTCAAGGAACAGAGCAAAGCGTCACAGACGCACGTGACAAAGAGGAAGATACGGTCGATACCCTTAGGGCCCCTCTTTTTCCTGGCCTCTCCCCGCTGCGGTGCGCTTCGTGCAAGGAAGTGAGAAACGTGCCGGATCTCAGCGACTAAGCAGAGAAGGAAAATCATCTCTGCCAATACAGAGAGATACCCAGTGCCTGCAGTTTCTATGTAACTTATTTATTTTTTATTTAAATTTGTTCTGCAGCAGGGAGGGACTGATCTACTTGACTGCAACCCCGGCACGTTCTTGCAGAGGGGGACAGCTCCACTACTGCTGGTTGACAGATTATGTCTACCGTCAGGGCAGCACGTGAAGGAACTAAATGACATGGTGGAGCCCACGCGAATAAAAAACCACAAACAGCATAGACCCAGCAGGAAACTGGAGTCTGAGTGCAACTCAGTGTAAAGCAATGCCATGCAGCGTATAGTCAGGGATACAGAAGAAAAAGAGAATTGCATCATCATTGGTCAAATGCTATAAAATATTGAGCAAAGAGAGTTGGAGGTTATGGTAGATTAAACTTTAAAACCTACAACTCTGCTTACAGAAGTAGAAAGGCAAAAACATTTTAGAATGCATTAATAGAGGTATCAAACACAGCTGAACACTGTACTAAGGATTAGTGCAACCGTGTTGCTCATGTGAGCAGCTTTGTTCACTCCTCGAAAAAAGATATTATAGAGCTGGAGAAGGTTCTGCACATGACAGCCAGGAAGATACAAGGATTTACGCAAAAAAAGGAGATTACGCAGGGACCTCATTAAGATACGCACAAATTTTGAAAGAAGTAGGCATGACAGACCATACAAAGGTTTGAATGTGTGTCAAATGCAACGGGAATAGATACTAGCTTGAGCTACAAAATGAGAGAATTGAAAGAGATTTTTCATTTCATATATTACAATTTAAACTATGTAGAACATCCAGTTAGAAATACTTAATTATGTAATTAAAAAGAAAAAAAAAAGAATAGCATATTTTTTGAGAAATCAGTGATACTAGTTTTTCCAAGGAAAGGCTAGATAAGCTAAGGTAGCATTTATTATGCTTTCATTTAAGTAGATCATATATACACATTATTTCTTAATATTTTCCCCTTATCTAGAAAAGTAACCACAGCAATATTCCGTAAAAGTAACCTCTCTGAAATTCTCCATCACACCTGGTACCCCAAGCGCCACTGGGAACAGCTAGGACGCCGTAACTCACACGGCAACAAGGATCCTGCGTTTGGAACGCAGCCGCTGGCCAACCGGCCGCCCACGGAGCTCGGGCACCTCCTGTTCCTCGCACACCTCACCGTGATGCTCAGGGCTCCACCACCTCCATTTCTTGCTCATCGAGACAACAGAAGCCTTAGAAGACAACGATGCTACAAGATGACAGAGGACGCAAACACTGTACTAATACCTTATATCGCAAAAAACAAAGCAGCCACTCGAATTAGTTCAGACCACAAACCAGGTTTTAAACATTTTCTCTTCACTTTGCCTTTATGAATAACGTGGAATGCCCTAGTCACAGCTGAAAACAAACGAGACGCCTGTGGCACACCGCCCCCCGAGCAATCGACTACGGAGACGCCTAGCTGGGGAACGGGAGGCAAAGGCCGTAATTAGTATTTCCTCTGTGCTTCAGTGACAATCACAAACTGAAAATGTTGCAACCATCAAAAGCAGGAATAAAAACAGTAGGAAAATAGAAGATCTTTTCTTTTTACCTGAGTAAGAAGTATTTCTGTCTTTCCACTGAACGTTTTTGCATTTTATTTGATTTTGTCTCTCTTTCCGCAGACGTTCTAGTCTCTGAGCTTGAAAAGAAATATTATAACTATAAGTTTGTCAATGAAAGTTTACTATAAACAAAGACATAATTAACTACCTTTATATGAATAAAGATGTTTTATACTGCATATGTAAGGGAAAAAGTCATAAAATTTTAAAGGTGGCACCCCTGAAAAGCAAATACCAACAAAAACATGAAAATGTTCTTGATTTATAATTGAAATTAGAGGATATAAAACATTAATAGAGATCATAAAGATAGTATTAACATGGAAGAGAATAATAAAATGTGAAAACTTCTGTGATTAATATGACATTTCATTATATAAATCATTAATAACGGTCTTAAAGGAATTTTAATGCACAAATGAACTGAAGTGAATATTACATTACAGGAATAAAATTACTGTTATGAATTACTCTACCCGTTTCAAAAATTAAAGATAAATGAACTCAGACTAGACTATTAAAGTTTTAAATATAAAATCCTTTATCTAAAAATCATGAAAATTATAAAATGTCAAAGCTATATAAATTAGCATAGCTTTTTCTTCAGTGTGCTGAAACAGTTTATAGGTAGTAAAATAAATGATTTGTATCTTCACAACATTAGTCAAATCCTAAAATGAATATAATATTTCTTTACGTATATTTTGACTCCATCTTCAAAATACGGTTTGAAAAAAGTCTCACATAGTTCTAACATCAAGGAGCTTCCAGGCCAGGGTACCAGACGAACACCTTAAACGATCTCTTTGTTAACAGCAAGATCCCCCTCAGGAAACGGTCGGCTAAACCTGGCAGAAGCTGCCCAGGAAAATGACCACCAGAACCAACTGACGTTAGGGAGCGTCCAGCCAAAACAAGAAAGCAGATTAGACTGGAAAGTAGGACCACTGGTGTTGATCACCGAAGGAAACAATTTGCTGGATATATTAGCAATTTTGATGTATTGAGATCATTCATTAACTAAAACGGGTTTGTAGAAGAGATTCTAAAATGCTAAATTACTCTGACAATTTTTAGACACAATTTGAGTTCCCTGAGCCATTTCACCAATTAAGAAAAGGTTAATAAATATTTTCTCTCTCTCCTATTATTATTCTTTTACATTTAGTCTTTGAACTGAATTGTGGACACAGAAGTGATCCCCCCCCCCAAAGTCTCCACCTGGGAACTGATGAAAAAAAAGAATCCTTTGAGGTTTAACAGCTGTAACAAAGCAGCTTAAGGCACAAACACCAACAGGGACTTTGATGCCTATTTCCCATTTATGTCAACATGAGGTTAGCCCCTAAATACCTCTATGTATCTTACTCTTAATGAAGTAAGAGAAGATGTATCTCCACTTACAAGTTTAAATATTGGGTAAAACACTATTGTAGCGTAGATATTTTATTCTGAAAGAAAAAACTGTTTTTTCCAATTACTGTCCAGACTGCAGCTCAACGCTACCTTCCAAACCCCGTTCTTCCCAAATGGGCCATCATAAAATATCTGCCAGATTCGCATGTAAACAATGGATAAAGAAAAAATGTAGAACGGAAAGAAGAATAATGCATGTTTTTATCCTATTTGGTATTTCCACCCCTTGTGAAAACAAACGTACTGAAGCGCAGTCACCATCTTCCCTAACTCCATCCTATTCTTCTATCTACAGCTGATCACAAATGATCATTTACTGTGGGACTGTATTACAGCAACTCCAAATTAGATGGAATTATCAGTACCTATTAGAAATCTGAATTATTTAAGGTTCATTCCCACAAGAAGCATGTTAGTTTGAAAGCTTTCTGTGTGAAAAATGTCACTGACCAAATGTAGTTCTTGTTTCATTAACTGTTAGCAACGAGATGAGCCTTTGTTTCCAGCCACGCATGCTGGGTGAGTTTGCTGCCTTCCCACCTACACAGCACCCGCACTCGGGGTTTTTAACCCCTCTGGATGTGGCAGACGGGCGGCAGTGAGGGGATGGAGCCCAGAGCCACAGACCACCACGGCCCATCTACCGCCCGCAGAAAAGGAGGAGGAAGTCAGCGGCAGACAGCCCCCGCGTTCTCCCCAAACACGACGTGCGGTACCCCAACACCGCACCCGCTGTGCACCCCTTTCAAGGGGATAACTTTGATATTAGAACGCACATAAAATCCATTTCCAAATTTGCAGATCCACATGAGAACTACCTAATAAGCAACACTTCTGTAGTCTCTACAGAGATGTGTTGAGTATTCTACAGGAACACATTTCTACAATTTCTGAAAAAGATAATATCCTGGTAAGGTACTTTTATTATAAAACAGCTTTGCAAGAGATAATAAAAAGTTATACTCCACCCAAAACCAATGGTTAAAGATGGCCTAAGCAGAAATCATTTTATTTAGCAGGGTATAAAACCAAGGAGAATAAAGAAGAGCTTGCATGTTAAAAAAGTTGGCCACTATTACCTGTTGATACACAAAATTACACTATCTTCTCCTTCCCAACCTAAAAACCATTATCTGCTTTTCAAAGAACAAATGTTCCTGCTCTTGCTAAATCTACTCAGGTAGTGATGGATTAATTAAAAAAGAAATGTCCTTACGTTTGCCCATTCAGGAGCACAAACTGCAGATTTCACAGTTAATGAGTTATTGTACTTACGGGATGCGTGAACACTTTGTGCTATGTACGGATGTATCTGTTCGGTACTGATCAACTGGCATCCTTTGTAGGCTTTTTTCCAGCCGGCTCTGTTTCAAATCATAGCCTGATTGCCGTGGTAACTGTATTAGGTTCCTGGTGGCACCAGCACACACCATGGAACATAAAAGACACGCCAGATGAAAAGAGGCAAAAAACTGGTTCCCCAACGGACCGAGAGTCCTAACCATTCTTTCAGAATATGCCACCAGTTGGAAACTGAAATGGTTTCAGCCCATAGTTTAAATGGAGATTACTCTATCAGCCTATTCGCTTGGTGAAATAATCCTTCAGAATTATTTTGTGGACCAATTATATAAAACTTCAAACTTTGCCTCTCCTTCCTCATAAACTATACCATCAACTGGACGAAACAAGACCTCAAGGACAGCGCTAGGCAGTCCGGCATGCCAAACTTTTCACCATGCCTCAAAGTCAGCTTATTTCCAAATCTAACTCTCCATCCCAATAGATCAGCACCCTGTCTTTTCTGTAACTTTTGACAACTTCTTATTTGTAAAAGGTATTTCAAGATATTCAATACCGTACAACATTTTACTTGGCAGGTAGAGCACGGATGTTTTTTCTGAGCTCTAGGTGGTGTTATAATACCTTCAGAAATAATTTGAAAAAATATATACTGTAACACAGAAAAAATAGAGATCAGTATTGACCACGCTGCACCAACCTTTTCATATATATTTTATATTGCAGAATTTTTGTTCATAGCATTCCTCGGGTATAAGTAGAAGACTGAATATCCCTCATAAGAAACAACAAATGGGACAGCTTTCTTCCAGTCAAGACAAACTGAGCACGTTTTGAAAAGGTCTATACCCTTAAATTTCCTGATTTGGTAACTTAAATCCTAGCTCAAGGTTTTTCTCAGAAACAAAACTTCAGAAGACAAAATATAGAGAAATCATTCACTTCGTTGGCTCACATCAAACTTCATTCCTCTCTTTTATAACAAATAGATTTGATGCCTCACTAGGTAGATTTTTGTCAGAAAATAACTATCCTGTTCAAAAGTTAACACCCCTCCAGACATTAACAATAGAAATATAAAAGACTGTTCATGTACTTTGGATTTAGACTTCATGTCTTTACAACTCAATTTTTTTTTTATACATAAAACTGACTACCTCAATGCTCCTCTGTACCTGAATAAGTAAAACAGCAATTAAAACTCGGTTGACAGCACACTGAAGTAACTGAATCATTACATGTCCTTTTATAAAAAGGGTCTCGACGTTACAAAAGGAGAAGTTTGACAGATACCTAGCTAGTCATGCTCTGATTTGGCCCTGCAAGCCAGACTAATAGAAACTGAATTTAAAAGTCTAATGTCATCTTGGCTGCAAACATCACTTACCTGTGTTTGATCGTCTTCTGATTCCAAAGTCCCAGCTTGAGGTAATATCAACTGATTGGGAATATATATAGCCCTGAGTCTCACCGTTGCTTCCCTGTGTTTCTGAACCACTGTCCCCATACGCTGACGAGGGATTGAACTTCTCCAGGTCGACATCGTGATCTATCAGGACCATTTCACACATCCCTGTGTCATCACTGGTCACGTGTGACTGCCGAATATGAGCAAGTATAATTGTTGGGTTGTCCAGGAAAGCCATTCTGTCCACAAGTCCACCACTTCACTATACTATCTTCTCTCCATCTTGTTTCATGAACACGTGTACCTAGAAATATAACGTACACAGCATTTTAGACAAAAAAACAAACCCAAACCCTGATTCAAGAAGGTTTACATTTTGGATGCACAAAACCTAACTGACTCAGTCTTGTACAATGAATTATTTTAATTCTCCTCCAGTTTACTTAAGTTACACTGCTTGCTGAGGTCCACTTAAAGAACAGTGGTTTTGGAGGACAGCTTGAAACCTGAATCCCAAGACAATGGAACGCAACAGACACCTACAGGCAAGTCCCATTACTCTACAACAAATGGTTGTGATAAGGCAAACTATTCTACGTACTACATATAGAAGGACGGAGAGAAAATACAGACGAGAGACATCTGTCCATTCAAATTAATAAATTTACAAAACCAGACAGGGGTTTGAATTCCTTTTTACCCATCATAATAGCGTGTTACGCTTTCTTCTCCCTCTACATACCAACTCTTTGATTACTTTATTACAGACCCTCTTCAGGTTTTGTATTTCCAGGAAAAACTTTAAACACGAAGAGATTAGCATCTCAGGGCAGAATATTGAACACCTGCTGCTGCATGGCGCTTCATATAGGGCAACTGTTGTCATACAGAAGCAGCTCTGCGATCATATACCACACGCCTGAATTCTTAAGCATTTTAACAACAGTAATTGCCACTTACCTAAAATATTTCATTCAGAGTACTCAAGAGGCCTTACAAAACAAAGTAGAGGGCAAAAAAGAAAAGAAAATAAATGAAACAAACAAACCACAAAACCCAAACCAGACTTGGACTGTTAACCTATTTTACTATAGCTGTGGATCTATAGTTGTGTTAATCTAATTCAAATCTGGGCTGCCTCTGAAAGGGGCAAGTCCACACTCCTGTCTGGCCCTGGTCAGATATTTCTGCTGCCTCCCAAAGGCTGGCATCAGCACTTGCATAGCTGTGAGGTAAGCTGCATCAAAAAAAATGACCTGCTGAAAATTACCTGAAAAGGAAAAAAACAATTACTAATTGTCAGGCTGATCAGTCCGCCAGCAAACAGCTGCAGGAGCACCAGTACCAACACAACACAGGCAGCAGGGGTATCAAAGGCGGAGGAGAGCCGAGGTTCCCCTTTCAGCAGCGGTGCTGACGGCCGGCTGAAAGCGACTGCGAAACCTCAGCCTGAGGAAGAGGGAGGCTGGCGGGGTTTTAAGTCTAAGCTCTCAGAGAGATGCCAGACCAGACGTAAATTCCAGAAGTTCAAAATCCCCGCTGCTTTTCTAATAATTTGCATGTCTGAGAAAAAAACCCCAACATTTTACTACCAGCTATAGAACTAAACGTGCGTGCTGGTTTTGGCTGGGATGGAGTTAATTTCTTGATAGTAGCTAGTATGGGGCTATGGTTTGGATTTGTGCTGGAAAGAGCGTTGATAGCACAAGGATGTGTTCGTTATTGCTGAGCAGTGCTGACACTGAGTCCAGGCCTTCTCTGCTCCTCACCCACCCCAGCAGCGAGCAGGCTGGGGGCACAAGGCGCTGGGAGGGGACACGGCCGGGACAGCTGCCCCCAGCTGCCCCCAGGGCTGTCCCACACCGTATGGCGTCATGCTCGGCGTGTAAAGCTGGGGAAGGAGGAGGAAGGGGGGACGTTCGGAGCGATGGCGTTTGCCTTCCCAAGTCACCGTTATGCGTGATGGAGCCCTGCTTTCCTGGGGATGGCTGAGCACCTGCCTGCCCATGGGAAGGAGGGAATGGATTCCTTGGTTTGCTTTGCTTGCGTGCACGGCTTTTGCCTCACCTGTTAAACTGTCTTTATCTCAGCCCATGAGTTTTCTCACTTTTACCCTTCCGATTCTCTCCCCATCCCACCGGGGGAGCGAGCGAGTGGCTGGGAGTGCTTAGTTGCTGGCTGGGGTTAAACCAGGACAGTGTGTTTATTTAGCATTTTGAACATAGAAACAACAAAAAAATCTCTATCCTTGCTGTTTGCAAAACTTCTGTCAGCAAGAAGAAAATACCAAAGGAAAAGAAACAATTTTAAATCACACAAAGCCGTACCCCATGAAAATCTGGTAACGGCAGCTGGCCTTTTCCTGGCAGATTTTAACAGAAGAAAGTGAAGGAAAGCAAGCATCAGACAGGCTTGTTCCAGGACCAGCAAACACATTTCATCATTTCCCCTGTATTCTTCCAAGGGGAAAGGTGTATTAGCCCATAGAGCCCCACAAAGCAGCTTCTGCATTTAAATAGTTGGAGGCAAAAGTAATACTTTATTTGGACGCTCATCTAATCATAACAAAAGCAAAATTTTGAAGGTGTATTATAAATTGCAAAACCACCATCCCTACCACCAAACATCAGCATCTGCTAATTAGAACATTCAATAAATAGAGATTTACATCCTTCATAATTTTAGGCTTTTTTTGCTCCCTTGGCCACAAATATTGCCATTTTTTTTCTGAGAGACTCTGTCCTTCCTGCTCTAAAAAAAATGTAGACAAATTCAAAAGTATTATATTAAACAACAGGCCCAGCAGCAAGAAGGAATTCAATAAAAGAATGGTAGAGAAATAAAACTGACATGCTGCTTGTTATTAATACACTGCCCCTACCATACATTTTAATAAATTATGCTATTAGCTAAATACGCTCCATCAGTATCCTTGGAGATTTTCAAACCCCAACTGGGTAAGGCCCCGAGCAACCCGCGTTAGCTGGCCCTGCTCGGAGCTGGGAGGCTGGGCGAGAGCTCCAGAGGTCCCTGCCAACCGCAGCAACGCTGTGACTCCACGTTCTATTTGTTACTTTCTGCCTATTTCCATTACAGAAAGTAGGCCTGCTCTCCCTGAAGAGCTTCTCATTGTCCTCAAAGTGCGAGGCCACAAGGCAAATATCCTACCGTAAGGCAACCGTCTCCTGGCTGTAATTTACGTGTTAAAGGCCTTTAAGCCCTAACAGTGTGACTAGTATCGTCAGACTTGGAGAATACAGACACAACTAAGTATACAGCGTATGGATATTTTAAAAAGCGCACTGAGAACGTTCTTCAAATTTAATTATTTACCCACCGCTTATTAGAAAAGGCCATGCTTACCTGCAAGCAGTAAGAACTTGTTTAAATAAGCAACCGCCTTAGGCTTCTAAAAGGTCTGCAAACTCCCAATCAAAAATTACTGCTGCCCCATCAATGTGTCATATAAATGTTGGCATGTTAATTGTGTATTTATAAGATTGTTAATGGTTAGTTAATTTACCTCCCACACTATTATTGTACTTGAAATGATTTAATGTCTGCTAAGGGAGTTAACAACATGTAACAGCAGATGCGAGAATTTTACCTTTATACTCTGCACCCCGACTTCATGCTATTAACAGTCCGTGTGCTAAATTACCCAAGCTTCCTTACAATTTTACATACGCAATCACTTTTCCCATAAACACAAACACTGAAAAATGGCCAGAAATTCTATTTCAAACTCCAAAGTTTAATACAAACGCATTTTTTCTTCATCCTCTTCAGACTTTTCAAAAGGATACATTAAAACTAATTTCTCAATAAATTAATATTAACTGGAAATTCTATGAACAGTTAACACCCTCCCCCCAAAAAATCAGGAAAAAAGTTCAGACCCCAACATTCAGTTCAGATTTTTATGCCATGTTTTAATAGCTGCTACCTGCACAATTCTAACTGGTTCCTCCTTTTGATGAAGGCAAAAGGCAGTTAGGTGGCACAGCCCTGCTCTGAGGGACCCTGACCTCCAAGGACGTAAAAGAATTCAGAGAAGCGAAGTTCAATTTTGCAACCCTTTACACGAGTACCTTTAAGCCTCCATGTCATCAGTTTCAGCAAAATTACGGATACGAGACCAATTTCTCGATCTACTGAGATCTGCCAGCACACCGCCCCTGCTGCATGCCTTATACCCACATCCACACGTAGCAGCTCAATTTAACGGAACTCAGGGACCTTCTGAGCATCAGCAATTTATACGTTCTTCAACCATAAACAAAAAATAAATGTTCTTTTAATACTCGCGCTGTATAAAAGTTGTTCTACTATTAAATAAAATACTTTGCAGGCAGCTGTCAAGCGTACTCTATGCGAACACTAAAAATGAAGAGAGCAATGTGAAACCTATGCAACCTTAACAGTATTTATGTATGACATGATATACAGGTTAGTCTTATGATGATATACTACTTATCGGCAAACACCTTCCATGATTCATCACACAGGTGGACAGAGCTGAATCAGCCCTTCACTTTCTTCTTGGTCTTTATTATTCATCTGCCTCACTTTCTGCATATTATCTCATCAACACCCTGGACATGAACGCCCTCTCTCCCCTTCTCCTTGGTCTCATACCGTATTACCGAAGTGCCCCGAAGACACGGGGAGCACAGCCCCGTTCGTCTTGTGCAGTCACAGAACATCCTCAAAGATGTAAAACTGCACCATCAAGAGGCTGAGCGACTTGCCAGGTTTCACAGGAACGTCGCAGCAAAATCAGACAGCTGGATCTCAGTCTACTATTTTTATCAGAAGTATTCCTCTTCCAGTAACCCACTGCTATATTTATGGCATCTGTAGACTTTCACAGCAAGTGAAGCAAGGCTGTTATGCAGATCAACCTCATTCATAATACGGCATACAATAAGTAATGCAGAGCGTTCTAACAAATTATTCATCTCCCAGTAGGTGACAGAAAGGTCTTGAAAAGAGGATACGTAGTTACACAGGCTACACCTTAAACACACAGGTGAACGCATCTGAATTTGGGGAAGCAACTTCATGAATGTATTTAGTGTTCTCGTGACCCTCCTGCTTGCCTGATCTACTGTGTTTATTTAAATAAAAGGAAGATTTTCTCACTTTCCTCTTTCCCCACCAAAACCCCCATACAAACCCCAAACACCAGTCTGATCTATATTCACACGTTGTCCTACATCAAGCGTCAATGAGATA